GACCAACTAGTGAAAAATGCGACGACAAAATGAAAAAAAAACGAGTTTAAAATAATAGGTCGATTAATAAACTGTTATGTCTTGAGATTCAGCTGTTTTAAATTTCGCAGAAGGACGAATTTTCATATACCCAGACTTCTTCAAAGATAAAACATTTACATTCGTAAAATAAGAATTAAAAACAATTTTTAAAACATTTAATCTGCCTTATTCAACATGATCACAGTAAAAAAAAACAACTGCCGAACGGTATATAGGTTATTTATTTTGCCATTCACCAACGTCCTGAAATCTGTCACAACTCCCTTTGCAAGATGCATTCATGGAAGATAATTTTAACATATGATAGAAAACAATGACAAACAAGATCGACTGTCGGACAAAACTGAGTCGTAATTCGGTGAACAGCTCAGATTCACTGCAACAAGGACCCATCGTCGTTTGCAGACAGATTACGTACACGATTATCATATTCTTAATTCTTACTGCTTAACCTGCACTCGTGCATTTCGTTTTGTTGTTGGTTCTTCAGTGCTACAAAAATATGGTCATTTACAACAGGTAGACACAATTAAACGACGGATATTCATTCAAGCGGTTGAACGAAGTCCTTAAGAACTCACGGACATCCACCTCATGTTCTCAATCTAAACATAAGATCTGTATTATCTTACGAAAGACATGTCAGCAAAAGAAAACCACGTTGTGTTGCATTGCAATACAAAGTCAAAGTCACGCTGAAACACGCAATAAGATGATAACAACACTGCCTGCAAGTATCTGAAGACAAAACGGAGACAGCAAAATAATTGGACATGCAAAGAAGCTTGCACACAGATGACAAAGATCATTGCTGAAACGAAGGGAACCGCATCTGAGACAAAAGGATGAAAAACATCAGATCAGAAAACATTCAATTCAAATATTCGACAGTGTAGTAAGCAGGAAAAAGAAACATTTGGTAAACGCACAGTACGCTGTTTGACTGTCGCATTACGAAGAAAGTGATTCATCCTACGCACCTTAACCCCACGAAAAACGCCATTTATTCGTAGTGAACAGTCCGCGCGATCTTGGATAAGAAGACACAAATAAAGAACAACTACCACATTAAAATGAATTTATTTGATCGATTTCAAAACATATGATTTAAAACCCATATGTACATTCAGAACACAGGGTGCCATATTTAACATTATAATCTAGCTATCATGTTCTTAACCAGTGCAATGGCCGTCTTTTATGGTGTTTAGGAAGAGCGAGTTCAATTTAAGTGTCTACGGAGCATGGCATTCTGGTCTTAAATCCAAACTACAAAAATTACACAGAAATTTTTTATCGTTGCGTTGAAAACTGATTGCTATGGACGAAAATGTCATCTGAAAGAGCAAATTTCAACGCGTGGTTTACCCGGTATCATACATCAATAATAAAATACCGTAATCAAACAACAATTTAAATAGCCAAAAAGATGACCCGATGGATGAAAATGCGTGCTCCTTCAACCTGCCTTTCTTTAAAACATAGAACAGTAAAACAACTTTCAAGAGTCCATGTTCGATATGATGCCACTGCGTTACTTTTCTGCTGCCATAAAAATATCAGTTCGACAGAAGACAGTCAATGGGCCGGGCAAATCCGATTATCCAGCATATAAAAGATCACGGTACGAATGTCACGATTCAGATTTCTGGACTTCGTCAGCAAATATGCCACAAGAGCTGAAACACATCCCGTTACACACGGAAACAAGCCTTCGTTAAAAAATACCTTGAACAATCGTCAGACTCTCGACCAGTCATTCATCGTCACTTTCAATGTCCGTGTCTGAATCCCCTTCGCGCACTTTTTCAGAACTTTCTTCTTTAATTTGCTTCGGTTGGGTATTTTCCGTATTGCGGCCATCCAAATCATTTTTATTGTTGCACACCTCAGTCGATGACTGAGCCTGTTTCTGTTTCCACTGCTTGGCGACCGATAAAAGTTTCAAGCTCCACTGACTACTTTCGTCAGATGGAAATATGTAATCGTAGTATTCTTCCCATCCGGCTTCGAGCTAAACACACATTCATGTAAATCAAACTATTTGAAAAATTCTATCAACCCGTTAAGCAGAAATAAATATAAGTTCAAGTAATAAATGCTATATCTTCGCGGTATCCAGAGAGCGTTCCCATGTCGACTCTTAATACAATCTGACACCATTGAAAACCAACATCGGTTACAGCAGCCATGAGTCCCAAAAGTCCGATTCTGAAAACTGCCGGCAAAGGAAGCAGTGCTAAGGACTACAAACTTAAACCAACTACAAAGCCGGGAAAAATTACAGAGCACAAATGTCAGAAATGTTAATTTAGAAAAATCGAGAAACAGCTTTGTCGAGACGAAGAGCAACTGAAAATGATTAACCTAGAACAATTGGGAAGGCATTGCCATTGAATCTATCAAGTACTTCATTTTATAAGGTTATACATAAAAACTAGGAAAGAAAATGCACTCCATTCTTTCAGATACAAGTGAAGTATCCGATGATTACAGATACAACCCATACGATCGATATTAAAGAAGGTTTATGCTACTGCAAACGTTTGTGACAACAACATACCATTGCCATGGTAACAGCTGCAAGGGATTTTCTCGTGTAAACTATATTTTGACCATGGTTCGGTCTGCAACTTCTACATATTTGCCTTGATGACACCAAAATTGAACTATACATAAATATACTTAAATAGAAGGCAGACAATCCAAATGAGACTCCAAACTCGTTTTATCATACATCCATACACAATGCCGCTGAATTCATGACTGCATGCTCTGTTACCTCAGTCAGTGACATAAATCAGAGGAACGTTTAAATAAAAGTTTCTCGGTGCATTCATTTTCAAAACGAGTCGGTTTGGGCAAAATTCTGTCACATAGTTGCCAATATTGTTGGCAATAGCTGTTACGAATAACAGTAATATGGTAACAGAAATTAGTACACGTGTGAATTATTGCACTAGCCTCTGTTGGATAGGTTTCTGAGGTTTTTACTCTATGCACTTGAAACCCAGACAATTAATATCAAAGGAACATAGATAAACTTATAAAAACGCATAAAGAAAACCTACTCCATTTTCCTGAAAGATTTGTCTCCTTTTCTTAACCCTCTTCGGCAATTCGCCTTCAACCTCTTTCAACGTTTCCGCATCACCATTTGCTATCTGAAACAAAGAGCATACAAATCCTATGTTTCAACAAAATCTTTAAACAGTGGAGTACTAGGCACACATTAGTTCACTAATATCAAAAACTGAATGAAAAAATTTGTAGTCTACATGAATCTTATTGATATCTTCATCACGCAACAAACGGACACATGCTCTGCGGCAATCACAAAACAGATATGACAAACAGGTACCCCAAAAGATACAACTTAGAATACTAGCTAGAATAGTTAGATGTAAGAGCTGCAAAAAATGAGACGATATGTTGTTGTGACTTGATCATGCAAGGGTAAAATTCTGTCCGGATAAATGCTGAAAAACGTTAGTAGTATCGAGTAACAACAACAGAAATGGAAAAACTGCAACCACCGCAATGTCGGTATTCCTTAAACTTCAACACTGGGCCATTTCTGGTCACACTATTTTAATGAAATCAATGGTAAAGCGCTGATCTCCATTTCCATGCTATCAACGAGCAGTGCCTATTTAAAAGGTAGGACCTACGAAAAAAACCTACCTAAGAAACGACGTAGCAATCATATATTTAGTCTCCTGTATCCATTCCACGCTGTGAGACTCATTTACCAGTCTTGAAATGAAAAAAGAGAGTCATCCGATAATGGCCGAAAACCAAACCTCTCGTCTTCGAGCCCAACGCTACATCA